CAAAGTTAATGAATGAAATTTTTAATGCAATGTTGTTGCTGTTTTTCTATTATTATTCTTTCCATGCAAATTCCACAAGGAGTAGAGTGGTGTATTGACAAAGGAGGCAGGCAGAGTATAACATGTGGTTTTCAAAATGTTCTTACTAAATCAAGAATCTATGCTCAGGTCAGATCTCCACATCCTCTTTACTGGAGGATGGACTTCAGGTACCTAGGAAATTGATACTGCTTGTGGAAACTTCAGGCCCCTTTCTGTGTCTGGATGTGCTAGTGATGCCCAAAATGAGCAATGAGAGGACAATGATGAGGTTGGAGAAGCAAGAGTAACAAAGAAGTTGAGGTGGCTTTAAGGTGGACTGCCTTGTTTTAGGACAGAAGTTTCCAGCCACTGGATGGAAGAGGGTGAGAGAACTCAATTCTTCAAAAAATTCTGGCCCAAAGCAGGTCCCAAGCTACTGTGGGTTTCACAAACCATTTTGCTTCATGTGACTGTGAACAGGGTGGCAAGTTGCTGGTCCTCACTGAGTGGGCTACAAACTCTACCCGCAGGGTCCATGCCTGTTTTTCTTCATTATGGTATCTCCAGAGCCAGCACAATGCCTGCTACTACTAGCTGCTCAATACTTGGTGAATCCACAACTGAAGAGTGGTTGCTACAGCAACTGCAACAGCAGGATAGGAAAACTAGCTAGGGCTCCTGATGGTGACAAAAAGGGTTTGGCTAGGAGGGACTCTCATAACTCTACCAATGGATCCCCTAGTCAGAGAAATGCTGTTTTCTTATGTTATCTTGATAATACTGTAACCAGACACTGCAGTCACGTACAGAATCACCTCCTGGAAGGCTATTCAAATGTATAAGTTATAGCTACAAAACCATTTGGTTGATGGGTGCCACGTTTCATAAAAAACGTGATTCCATGAAAGATAGTCAATCAAGCCAAGTGCTGACACTTGTAATACCAGTATCTGAAACTAGAAGTATTAAACTAGATAGAAATCCTCAAAAACAATCAGCTCTGTAGTTTTTGGGGTGGCAATTTGATATTCTAGTCACAGAAGGGATTTTGGGTTGTGTGTATGTGTTTTGGAGGTTCTGGTATGGAATATGGTGTGGATACCTTTTTTTTTAAAGCCTTCATGTTTTCCTACTATTAAGTAGATATGGTGTCTCAAGCATCTTCTGCCATTAGTTGCTTTAATGCAATCTTTAAGATGTGCCTTGTTAAGGTAGCTGTTTCTTCAAAGTGGTTACACTACAACAATTCATATGCAAAATATGTTTAATGATCATTCGTGTAAGTAGATTTATATAAACAGAAAATAGTTCCATATTTTCTTTGTCAAGCAATCAAACAAAACACTAAGACCTACACAATTAGAAGACAGAAGCTTTTCAGGTGAACAATGGCTGTGCCCTGAGTAAGACATGAGCGCCACCTAGAGGATTCACTTGAAACTACAATGCAGCAAACCAAAGAACTTAGTTTAAGCATTAACAATTTTTGAACCCGTGGGCAACCAAGGCAAGAATGAATTATCTTCTTTCCATAGCCCGAAATCCTATTATTTCAAGCTTCCAGTAGAGGACTCCTGAGAGTATTGTTACTGAGTGAGGTACTTTCAGCAGAATCAGGAAATGGAATCCTGGCATCCGAAGAGAATTAACATTAACATGTTAATAAATACAGGTCAGAAAGTACTAGGCAAAAAGGAAACATGCAAATATGTCCCCAACCTGCTGTGTTCTGCTCTCCCCACTCCCTACACTAAGCAGGGCTTCATACAAATCCATCAGCCTTTTATTTTTCCACAAGAAGATATAAATGACTGATAAAACAGGTTGAGACTCTGTTATCCTAAAAAAGGTAACTAGGAGAATTTCTAGATGTTAACTGTTAAGAGTATCTGAGTGGAGTAAGATAACATCCCCCATTATCAAAATTATTATTCCTTTAAATAAACTAGGTCTGTTCGTTACAGATACACTTGTTTTAATGAAAATATTTTAATAGGGGGTATTTAACTCTTAAAAAGTCAGAGTAGTTAAAAATATCTGCATTCCCTATGTTTATATCTTTCTAATGAGAGTTTGTATGCGAGCTCTGGTAGCGTAGTGGTTACGAATCGGGCTGCGAACCGTAAGGTCAGCGGTTCGAAACTACCAGCCGCTCCGCGGGAGAAAGATGAGGCTTTCTACTCCCGTAAAGATTTACACCCTCGGAAACCCTGTACAGGGTCGCTATGGGTCGGACCCGACTCGATGGCACTTAACAACAACAACAACAATGAGAGTTTGTGGGTGATGCAAACGGTACACCAAAAGGTTGGAGGTTCAAGTCCACCCAAAGGTGTCTTGGAAGAAAGGCTTGGAGAGTTACTTCCGAAGATCAGCCAGTGCAAACCTCATGGAGCACGCCGATGTACATGGGGTTGCCAGTGAGTCTCAGATGACTGGTTCTTAAGGAGATACTGCTATTTTGAGAGCATATCATAGTTTTCTACCTCAGTGTTGCACAAATTATCTGTGATGAAGAACTGTTTTTTTGTTTGTTATCTTTAAATTCTCAGTTACTGGAGGGACAAATACTTGCATAAATTAAAATAAAACTTTCATGGCAGTATCTAAAAGTTTAGCCTAGCTTTCCGTACCCACCTTGCCATACTATGTCCTGACTGACATTGCTCTGTGGTCCACCTCGGAAGATCACTGCTCTACCTCCTGTTCTTTAAAATCATACCTGGGCTTGGCCTAAAGCTCGCCTTCCATCATTACCACTACAGTTATAATCAAGAGCTTAACTTACACCTTCCTTCTTCCCTCCTCATTCGTATCTCCCCTCCAACTTTTAAGATAATGTAATCTTTGAATCCATAACATTGTTTAACATAATCTAAAATGTGAAACAATTGCTAGATACCATTTAAAATTGATTCTCTACTTGTAACATGTTTGCATGACTCCCCAATTTCCTTGTTCTGTTTTGCTAACTTTATTTGAAAGACACTTATAGGTAAGAAGCTTTATATGTTAGACACTTGGGTAGCACAAAAATTCAGGAATTTCATGAATAATGGGAGCAATCTACCTATGAATACAATGTAGTTGACAAAATACACCCTTTCTTGATATAAAGTGAACAGGAAAGCCTTCAGTTGAGTATCTCCTTCCTGCTTCCCACTTTGCCAAAATAAAAATTTAATAAGTATTTTGATTGCTACGCAATTCTAGCTTTCTGAAGTTTCCTTCATTCACAGGTCAGAAAACAATGGATTTTTTTTTTTTTTTCCTTATCCCAATAACACTAAACAAAATTCTCCAAGGCCACACATTAAGAAAGTATTCTTATGTTTTCATTTATAAGGCACAGAACCACACATTGATGACAGAGAGGGAGTTCACAAACATCTGAAGACAGACAACAAAGCAACCAAGTAATAGAGGAGGCTCCCTTTTCAGTAATGGGGGCCGAGTACTGACAGGAGGTGCATGTGTCCAAGGAGGTGGCATCCACAGCCCTTCCATCTCGTCCGTTCATAGTCCCAGAGGAGCCTCCAGGGCCACCCTAACAGAGAGCACACAAGCTCACTGGCCAGGGCTGATTCTTTTCGAGGTTCTGCTTTAAGCTGGCAGTCTCTGGGTGGCACAAGTAGTTAAGCATTCAGCTATAAAGCCTAAAGCACCTCCCTAGGAGAAAGACATGTCAATCTGCTCCCATTAAGATCACAGCCCAGAAAACCCTTAGGGTTGTTCTACTCTATCACATGGGGTTACTGTGAGTTGGAACTGACTCAATAGCACCCAACAACAACTAGCCAAAAGGTTGGCAGTTTGAACTCACCCAGAGACTCCTTGACAGCCAGGTCTGGTGATTTGCTTCTGAAAGATCACATCCTTAAAAACCCTGTGGTGCCGCTCTCCTCTGCACACATGTAGTCACCATGAGTTGGAATTCAGAGCTCAGCAGCAACTAACAATAAGAGCTAAGCTGATGCAGGCTGCGTACCTGAGGACGTTGACCTGGGGTAGCATCTAGTTAGGAGACCTTTTGAAATAATCAGATCGGAATCAACTTGATGACAACTGGTTTTAGTGCAACCCTTAGACACAGGTTATATTACAAGCATCACTAATAGCTCTCAAGTAATCCTGCAATCCACAGGTACAAAACAGAAGGAGCCCATGACACCAAACAATATCCAAGATTGTTGGCAGGGTCTTCTGATGGCTCTTGGCACTGTGCTCTCTGGTACCATTTACGCTATTAGTATTATATGAGAACAAGCTTCCACAAGGATCCAGGCATTGCCTGGAAGTATGAATGTTTCTTGGTCCTTTATGTTAACATGCGTGGTACAGATGGGAGTAGGAGGTGGCCAGTATTTCAGAGAAATCACTGTTGTCAGTCAGTCAGCCAGCCAGCCAAGTGATGACCCTGAGAAAAAAAGCCAGTGTTACAGTGGACGAGAGAGAAGGGATCAGAGATCAGATCAGCGGAGTAACTTATTATACCAAGGTATACCTTGAAGGCTCACAATTCTCTATCCTAGACAATCTTAGATGCAAATGAAATAGGGTCTTTTGGTCAATTTATTCAATTACCAAGGCTAGCATAGGGTGTGGACCAGCCACCTACTTCTCAGTCCAATTTTATTACCTTTTCAGCTATAGACTTGCCCCTGAAAGCCATGATCAGAATTCTGCCAAACTATTAGGTAGGAAGATTGTTCTCCTAAATTCAACATCCTGATTCTAAGCCCTTTGAAAGGTTACGAACCAAAGATAAATGGCATATTCCTGTTATTAACAATAACAACAAAAACAACAAAACTCTTGAATCATTCAGCTTTCCAATGCTGCTGCCATATAACATCTCCTTGGAATGTGTATTATTAAGTTAAAAGCCAACCCTTAAAAACAAAACAACTCCTAATGTTGCATCAAGTTTTCCCCAAATCCTAACTGGCCACCTCCACACACTGCTCCGCCTGCCAGGCTCAGGAATCTTTCTTGGTCAGCCTGGCCTTCACTCTGTGTCTTAGGAAGGCTGCGGTAGCTGCACTGCAGGCAGTCAAGACAAAGAAGGAGAGACCCGCACAGTAGATGGCCAGGGGGCTGTGGCGTTGTAGGAAGATCTCCTGGCGTCCCTGGAAGTCCAGCAGGATGGCCTCCAGCTGCGAGAGTGTGCAGATGGACAGGAAGGCATGGAAGATCTGATGCCCGTGGCCCACGATGTCACAGGAGCCCGGGAAGTACTTCTCAGGCACAGGGCAGGAGAAGAAGTAGGCGCTGACCAGGAAGAAGACAATCTGGAGGGTGTGGTACCAGGCGGCCTGCTCCTGGCAGCCAGCTAGGTGGCACAGGGCCACGCGGTGTGCCACAGGGCTGATGTCTAGGATGAAGGCCAGCCCCGCAGGTACCACTTGACAGATCTTCCTCATGACTGGGTAAGGCCTTCGGTAACGATACTTGGCATAGCAACAGCCGGTACAAGACAACCAGCCACAGAAAGCAGCCGCTGGCAAGAAGAAAAGCCAGAACCGCTCGTACCACGCCTGGTCGGCGCTGTAGAAGAAGTGGGCCAAAGCACTGCCATACTGGTACACGCTCACGCCCACGTAGTCCACAAAGTAGAAGGTGTAGTGCGAGAGCTCGGACTTGGACTGTAGCAGGTGAGCCAGAAGGCTGCAAGTGAGGTACGTGATGGAGGACAGGATGTACAGGAGCAAGGGCAGGGAATGCGGAGAGACCCAGGGCAAGGCCTCAGCCTCAGCGAAGGCCCAGAACCGCAAGAGGACGGCCAGAGCGGCCAGCAAATGGGTCCAGACGTTGACGACCTCGTTGTGTTTCTGAAAGAGGCTGAAGAAGTAGTAACGCCACTCATGGCCTGTGGGGCGATAGCCCGTGTAGATGTACGGCTCGCGGAAGAGCTGGGGAACGTCAGTCTCTGGGACAGTGCAAGGCATCTTGGGAAGCCCATCCTCAAGGATCTTGGGAAGGCGGCGCAGCTGCTGCCCGCTCACAGACAGAGTGCTGAGGCGCTCCAAGATAGCGGTGGTCATAGCTGCGGCAGGTTCGGCCAACTCAGCACAGTCAGGTCATAGGGGATGCAATCTAAACAGAATACAGTAAAATCAACAAAATATGCATTGAGAGAGGGACTGAGCTAAGACAGGGAAGGAACTACAGGTTCTTTAAGTGAAGCATGGGTTTCTAGGGCAGTAGAAAAAGCAGGGAACTGTTGACATCTTTCTTGATCCTCATCATCTGCATCCATTGAATGATCAAGTTGGACCAAAATTCCCTATTGCTGGAACATTCTGATTCTGTCTGTTACCCGCTACAGTGGGAGGCAAAGTTGCAACCTGTAAAATGGGAATGTTATTACCCACTGGTTTTTTTTCTGTTTTTTTTTTTTTTTAAGTTTTTATTGTGAATTGAGTGATAGTTTACACAGGAAACCATCAGTTTTGCACTCATCCTATCGTGTTTTGTCTCATTGCAATGATTATAATCCTCTCCATGTAGCAGTGTTTGCTTCTATTCCCTCTGTTTCTTTCTTTCTTTCTTTTTTTTTTTTTTTATGTACACAAAAACACTCAGGAGTATATAATCATTTAAACAACCAAAGGGCACATTCTGCAAGTCTGTCTCCTGGCTGCCAGCACACAGCTTTTCTCTTTCCATGAGTCTACAGTCCTCAGCTGCTCTCTCTCTCCATGCCATCACCTTTGCCTCCATCTCTGGTGTCGCTGCTTCTCTGGTTAGGGTCCCATGTTTTTCTCATGCTCTTCTCCTTGATGGTCCTAGGGTCCTCTGTTCCTAGAATGTAAGATTAACTACCCTCCCCTTTTTGTTACAAAACTTTTACCTTGACAGTTGTGACAATTGCATTTAGTCATCATAACAATTACTTACTATTGAATCAAAATAATCCTATTTGATTCTCCTTTCACCAGACCTATCTAGACAAGATGAAAACTATTCAGTGGGGATTCTGCGCTCCCTCAGCCCCTGCACAATCTGAAACCAAACTCCCTCTTGAAATTTTGTAAGCAAGTCACTTCGTGCCTTTATAGCCACCACCACCCTGCCCCATTTTAGGTGGCCAACGTCTACATTGCCCATACCTATCAACCCTGTACACCTTGATGTGAAGACCCTTTCCTTCTAGGTTGGTGTTTTGAGCTACTACATCCATAAGTATAGGTCAAGTTCATCATATTGTAGCAATTTACACTTGGTTCCTTTATCATATTTCTTTCTCTTCCTCTAGTCGAGCTCTGGTCATCAAGTCATTGAAGCTAGGTTAAATGGGTACTATCTACAAGTTTGGGCATTCTTGTGCATCTTCCCCTGTCAACCCTGTTTTTAATGGTATTCTTGACCAGGTAGGGAACCTTTTTTCTGCCAAAATTTATAATATCATTCAAAGCCTATATGCAAAATTATCAAATGAAAAATTAGCCTGCTATATTTGGTCAAACAATTAACTTGCCTCTAGTGTGATGGCTGGAACTGTGGTTGCCTTGGCAGGTTCAAACCAAATGATTTTGCAGGCTGAACATTCCCCATCCTTATTCTAGACCATAAGATTGTTGTTGTTGTTAAGTGCCATCGAGTCGGTTCCGACCCATAGTGACCCTGTACAGGGTTTAAGATAGCCACTTTAAAAACTAGTAGCTGTCAAGGCTGACTCATTATGAGGTTAGGATGGCAGTGGATACTGGTGATGGCTGTAAAATGTGATTAATATAATTGGTGTCACTGAATTGTATGCATATAAAAAATGCTGAATTGGCAAATGTACATTATATATATGTTGTTGTTAGAGGTCGTCAAGTCAGGTCATAGCTACACAACAAGAAGAAACAAGGCCCAATCCTGTGCCATCCTTACAGCTGTTGTTACACTTGAGCCCATTGCTGTTGCCAAGGTGTCAATTCATCTCTTTGGGGGTCTTCTTCTGTTTTGCTGACCCTCCACTTTACCAAGCACAATCTCCTCCAGGGACTGGTCCCTCCTGATAATATGTCAGAAGTATGAGAGACGAAGTTTTGCCATTCTTGTCTCCAAGGAGGCAGACCTATTCCAATACAGACTTGTTTGTTCTTCTGGCACTCCATGGTACTTTCATTCTTCTTCTCCAACACTACAAAATCCTTCTATGGTGTTCCTTATTGATTGTCCAACTTTCATATGCATATGACGTAACTGAAAATACCATAGCTTGGGTCAGGTGCACCTTAGTCCTCAAACTCATATCTTTGCTCCCAAACACTTTAAAGAGGACTTGTGCAAAAAATCTGCCTAATGCAATATGTTGTTTGACTTCTTGACTACTGCTGTGGATACAAGCAAAATTAAGTCTTTGACAACTTCAATCTTTTCTCCATTTATCATATTATTTATTGAGCGAGTTGAGAGAATTTTTGTTTCCATGACATTGTGGTACAATTCATACTGAAGGCTGTGATCTTTGTTCTTCATCAGTAAGTATCTTAAGTCCTCTTCACTTTCAGCAAGAAAAGGTTTATCACCTGCATATCACATGCTATTAATGAGTGAACTTCCAATCCTCATGCCATGCTCTTCTTCATATAATCCAGCTTCTCAGATTATTTGCTCAGCAAACAGACTGAATAAGTATGGTGAGCGAATACAGCCTATGAATACACCTCTCCTGATTTTAAACTACTCAGCATCCGCTTGTTCTGTTCGCACAACTGCCTCTTGGTCTATGTACAGATTCTTCATGAGCACAATTAAATGGCTGGAATACCCATTCTTCCCAATGTTATTCATAGCTTGTCATGATCCACCTAGTCAAAAGCCTTTGCATAGTCAATAAAGTAACAATGTTCTGGTATTCTGTGCTTTCAGCCAAGATCCATCTGCAGTGCTATACTTCATCTAACGTTCTTCTCTGAATCTGGCTTGAGTTACTGGCAGTTCCTTTGTTGATGTACTGTTGCAGCCATTTTTTAATTATCTTTTAAAAAAGTTTTTACTTGCATTTGATAGTAATGATATTGTTCGATGATTTCCACATTCCATTGGGTTACTTTTCTTTGGAATGGGACAAATAATGAATTTCTTCCAATTGGTGTGTCAGGTAGCTGTCTTAAAATTTCTTGGCATAGATGAGTGAGTGCCTCCAGTGCTGCATCAGTTTGTTGAAAGGTTTTCATGTTATTCCATCAATTCCTGGAGCTTTGTTTATTGCAGTTCTTTCAGCACAGCTTGACCTTCTTCCTTCAGTACTATTGGCTCTTGATCATATGATACCTCTTGAAATGGCTGAACATCGACCATTTCTTTTTGTACAGTGACTCTGTGCAATCCTTGTATCTTCTTTTGATGCTTTGTGCATCATTCAATGTTTTGCCCATAGAATCCTTCAATATTGAAAGTTGAGGTTTGAATTTTTTCTTTATTTGTTTCAGCTTGAGAAATGCTGAGCAAGTTCTTCCCTTTTGATTTTCTAATTCCAGGTCTTTGCACATTTCATTGTAATACTTGATATATTACAACAACCACAACAAAATGATATGGGGTCTAGAAAGCCTAGAGTGGCAGAGGAGAACCCTAGGAGCATAGCTGGAAGTATGACATTGGCATCAGAGGAACCTGATCTCCAACCCTGTGCCCACCATCTATAAACCATGTGACCTCAGCCTAAGCTTTATAATCTGTGAAACAGAGTTTGTGATTAATGTAAGGAATATAAGATGTAATGTTTGTAAAGTATTTAACAAACTCTGCAAGTGACATTTTCCATTATTCTGACCACGACTGGGGTGAGATGTAAGAGTGATCAGTGAACGGGCCTTTTCGCTTTCTCTGCCATGTATCTGGCCTCCTGGTGTGGCACCACAAGGTCGATAATTCAAACTCACCAGCAGTTCCTCAGAAACCCTATACAGGGTTGCTATGAGTCAGAACTGACTCGCCGGCACTTAACAACAACATCTTGTATCTACTTTTACTGCGGTTTCCATAAGCCTGTCTGGAAGTTTAGCCTTCACTCATTAGTGGTTTCCTGTCAGAACAGGTTGTGAAACGGTGCTCACGACAGGATGTAAAGACACCCAGAGAAACTTGTTAGGGATGAAGGAGCCAACAAGAAAGAGTGAGAATGGGAAAGAGAAATAGAATGGTCATCAGTGGTGGTGGTGGTAGTGGTAGTATGTCCCGTGGAGTCAGTTCCGACTGATAGTGACCCTGTGTAGGGTTTCCAAGGCTGCAAATCCTTACGGAGGCTGAAAGCCTCACATCTTTCTCCTGCGAAACGGCTGGTAGTTTCAAACTGCTGACCTGGTCCGTTAGCAGTCCGACTCGCAACCCACTACACTACCAGAGCTCCCTTAAGAATGGTTATCAGTGTATCTTAATTTAAAACAAGCAAGCAAGCAAAAAGGAGGGAAAAGGAAATGCTAAGCAGTGCTTCCACTATTGGCCAGCAGAGGGACCTCAGCGCTAAGGTGTAAAGTTTTGGATGGCGGCGATTCCAACCTTTGGCAGCAGTTGGAGGCAGTCAGGGCAGAGGTCTGGTGGGGTGGAATCAGGCGGGGCTCCAGCTTTCTTGAACACTTGATTCTGTCTGCTGGGACACAGAGCTGGGCCAGGGAAAAGCAGTTTTCAGGTCTGTTGATGTGAGCTGAGTAGCAGATAATAATGGTCAGAATAATCTTGGGGAGAGGGGCTTGTGGAAGTCCTGGTGTGGCACTGCAGGATAAGGACCGCACTGCTAATCGTAAAGTCGATAGTTCAAACTCACCAGCAGCTCCTTAGAAACCCTATGCATAGGTTCACTATGATTTGGAACCAACTCACCAGCACTTAATAACTACCTGGTGTGGTGCTGTAAGATAAACACTGGACTGCTAACTGCAAGGTGAGTGATTCAAACCCACCAGCCATTCCTTGGAAACCCTATACAGGGTCTGTCTGAGTCGAAATCAACTCAGCAGCACTTAACAACAACTTCTTTGGATTCACTACTCTTCTGTCAGTTTGTCATACTTCGGTGATATGCATGTTACTATGATGCTAGAAGTTATGT